GTAAAGTCATTCCAGAACTAGCATTTGTAAGATCAGAAGCATTTTTGTTAACATACAATTAGCAGGAAAGTTCCAGTGTGAACAAACCGTACTGGAAAGAGAAAGAACTAATAATTAACTTGGTGTGTTGGGACAAGAGAGAGACTGAGAGCTCCTCAGCAGAGCTTTATGAATGGGAAGAATGAGGCCAAGGGACTGCAGTGTAGTCTGAATGAAAGCTCCGTGCCTGGAGCAGAGCTCCTGATCTACTCCGTGTGAAGGGATCCCTCAAAGAAATATCCTCAATGAACACAGCCATGCTCGTTTTTATATGGAATTAAGGGGAGTTTGCAAACAGAACATTAGTGAGATGAGTAGTCTTAAGAAGTCTTTGGAAAGATGCCTGGTGAATTGGCCAACATTGCCCATCAGCACCTGTGACTGACTGTACTCAATAAGCACAGAGCTACTAATGCCTCCTGAGCTATAACGGAGCTTGCCCTGGCATGGGTTGTTATTTCCCGTGTCCACCCAGTGTTGCATTCTCTATCACTTCTGCTAGCTTGCCAGCTAGGGAACAGTTAACTAACTTGAAGCAGGACCGGTGAGAGCTCTCCTAAAGACAATCAAGAACGTCACCAGGTCATCAGTCATAAAATGTCTCCCTTCTTCCTGAGGGATTTATGCTGTGTTTCTTGCCATTCTCTGGGCTTTTGGGGACCTGGTACCAGGCAGTATCACTCAGCACCCTTGTGAAGATGGGCTGGGGTACAGTGCTTGCCTGGCCTGTAGAACAGGGCTAACACATGAGTTTCTTCTATGAGGATCTTGATGGGCTTCAATACGAACAGACTGGTAGGCCTTCATCTGGAGGCTGTCTCAGATAGAATCCAATGAAACATCCAAATGCATTGTCCAAAGCTCACATGGCCCATCCCCTTAGTCTTTGACCATGGTCCACAACTGCCACACTTCAAAAGGAATTGTCAAATGGGAAGGATGGCTGAGAACTTGAGTTGTAACATTGGCTTTGTTTGGTGTTGGTTTCTTACTTCTGCATCTTTTCTTCCATTATTGTGGTGCTTTTGAGTTGGATTTGAGGACACAGCGTACATACCAGCCCACTTCATTACTGCTTTCACATGGAGAGAAGCCACCTTAACAGTTTGTCCCATGGCATCAGTGAGCAACAGATGTTCCCACAAAGTCACAGCTGTTTGAAATACATACAAGAGAAGTGAGCACAAATTAATTGATGATGCACAATAATTCTGCAGGCAGAAAATTTTCTTTATTGGCTTTTTATTATGTCAATTAGCAAACTGCTTACACTCCAGATACTTCTTCTGTAAGTCTGTAAACTATTAACAACCTACTGCTTTTTACTTTTTTGGAGTTGTTCTGTGTAAGACCTAGGCTCTTAAGCCTTCAGGGTTCTAAAAACATTGCTTTAAAAATTTATTTCTCACAGAAATAGCTTAGATTTATTTTTTTTAGCTTACAAAAGCAGCATGCTTACAGATTTTTCCATGAAGAATGTTTCATGACATTGATGTAATTTCCTATCACTCCTCTTCACAGCCTGCTTTCCAAAACCGTTTTTCCCTTTGTGAAATCTGTTTGGTCTCTGTGTGCATTTGTATAATGTCTACTTACCTTTTCATCTCTAAGCACATTATTTCTCTTGTATCTTTTCCCCTAATGTTTAGAACTAACCAGTCTACAGACACCCCACCAAAGCTGTTTCATTCTTCCCATCCAAATGCAGGTCCTAGTTAATCTCATGAAATGTCTTCTGCTGATTTGGAAGGAGGCACTGCTGCTTCCTGAGCAATATGGACACAAATAAACAAGTATGAGTCAAGGGACTCGGTAAAAGCAGGTAGATGCAAATAGACAGTTCACCTCTCTCTGCTTCCTCTACTCCCATGGGCCCACAGGTCTCTTCCTGTAAACCACAGGTAGAGATTTGAAAAGCGTAAGGAATTTTCTTCTCAGGACACAATTTAAATCATGAAGTAGTTAGTTACATAATGGCTACCACTGTAAGACTGTGCGTTAACAAAGCTAGTTTTTATACGTGCACATAACATGAAACAAATTGAAATAGAAAAATTAACTACCGACAAATCAATATTGCATCTATTTTTTGCTGAATGAAATGAGTACTTAAGGATATCAACCTCAGTGTGACTGGGGAGATGAATTTGTCCTGTCCTGACAAGGTAGGTGTGTGCTCCTGGGTAATGGGGAGGGTAAAGCAACCATGCTGCTGTGACCTAGGACCTGAGAGCTAGAGCTGCATCAGGCAGCGTTAATGGCTCTTAGTCTCCTCAGTAAACGTACAATGAGGTGGCATCATCAGGGAGCATTTTGCTCATTGTTCTAATCCTCTCCTGTAGTTTCATATCAACAATAAGCAGAAGCAATTCCATTAAAGCAAACTCAAATATATTTATTATCATGGAGGTCAATGAACTCAGTTTTATGGTGGTGTTAGAAGCAAACCTCTTGCTACTTTTCCATGTTTTTTTGGTATAAAGTGGCATTACTGGCTTTGGAGGCACTTCACGGTAACCTGTTACGGTAGTCCTTACCCGGTGTTGATCTCACTTTCTGCAGTTCTAATGGAATGGTGTCTTGGGCCTCTGGCTGAGACATATTCTAGTTCCAGCCTGATAACAGAAGTCCTAAACCAGGTTTCAGATAGCAACAGCCTTGCTGAGTCTTCTAAAATGAAAGTTAATACAGAAGGCTTCACATCTTGTTTTCAGAAACTGTCTGGGATCCTCTGCTTGAAAAAAACCTTAAATTTTTTAGGTCATGGAATAACAGGTCACTTTTGTCATGCTGCTGATAGGGTTGCGTATCATTAGTTACATCTCAAAAGTCAGAGTTTTGGGGGCAGAATACTTGAGTAAACTACTGCTTCATTGCTTTCAAAACTACGAAGACAGGAATCAGAGTCTAATGCTTACAATACCTCCAGAATCCTTGCAGTAAAACCCAGAGCTAGCATCAAAAGAAAAGATGGACTTTAAGACAGTCACTATTACATTTGTCAGACCAGAAGTAAAAGTCCACGTAAGCAAGCAATAAGTGAGCCGATGGCTCCCAATCTCTAAATAAAACAGAAGCCTAGAAGTGCAACACAATGTGGACCCAAAGCTAATTGTCTTTGCCTGACCTATTCTGCCTCTACAAGGTGCAACGAGATGTGAAATATCACCAGTTTGAAGTTGGAAGTGATGGGACTACATTGCAAGACCTCTGGAGAATTTGATAATGACACAGATTTTGTGATAGCATCAAGATTCCCAGTCACATGAGGTGTCCATTGCAAAAGCATTTTTCATCTGCACAAAACTAAAGACTTGAAAATTAACCTAATCTGGGGAAGCATGTCAGGACAGAATATGAAAAAAAAAAAATTTACGCTGCCTTTTAGTACAACTGACCATAGAGTACTATTTGGGTGATAAAATTATGACATGGGTGCTTAAATACTCCTATACTCGGTTTACAATGAGGAAGAAGGCACAAAAGGTTAAAGAAGAATGCTTTTATTCAGCTTTCAGCTCTCACAGTTTTAAACAGTAAACATAATTAACAATTCACCCATGCTACTGGAGAACATAGTCCTGGTATCAGTAAAATGTCTACTGTTTAAGGCACTGACAGTGGGAAGAAAAAAAAGAAAAAAGACATAACATTGATTGCTCCTATTTAATCAGAATTTGAACCTATTATGAATATGTGCTTGCTATTCAAATGTTTAAAAACCCACAAGCTACATTCATCAAACAAATGTTTATACAACTTCAGTAATTACTGAAACAGGAATCAGTGGCTCCCCTACTTTGACTTAAGAGCAAATATTGCATTACTTTGGCGTGGAATCAACCTTTAACCTAATAAAAGAAAACAAAACACAAACTACTTCAGCAGTATGGCTTTAAGACCCTGTATTTGGTCACAATATAGCAAGCAAAGTTAAGTAACAGCATACAAGTGTTATATACTGTCATCTTAAAAGGAGCAGTTTTACAGTATAAAAATTAGTTTAGAACATACTAAAGCCAGTTTTTGTACAAATATTTTTACAAAACTGAATTAGTCAAAAAAAATCAAGAACTTTTTAAATATGAATCACTCTTTACATGCTGTATACAGAAAATTACTTATCTTGATGATAAATTAGGAATACCACAAACTTTTTAAAGCTGGCATCCATATACTATTGAAATGCACACATCAGAAATACTGAAGTGTTAGTTCTGAAAAATCCTTGAGAGTCACATTTATACTTGCCAAATAGATACACAGTGACTTAGGTTTCTAAAGGAGCCACAGTGACCTCCGGTGGCCACTTAAAAAATCCCTGCCTTTAACCTTTTTTACTTTAAACGTTATATCTCCTCACAAATGCTAATAAACTTAAAAGGTACAACAGTGGCTCATGCTTGGTCCATCTATCCCAGGAAACTACAATATTACTATCTGAAATGAGAATAAAGGAACATAGCCTTCACATAATCTAGCTCCTGGTCACTGAAACAAAGTCACCTCTCTGATTTATCAAGAACTTGTTCCAGAACAGTTTAGAGAACTGTCTTCTATAGGTTGATGAGAGATGATGTTCAATATATGTTCAACACATGTTCAATATTAGGCTCCCAAATACATATCTTCAGCTTTTGAGAGAACAAAGGGAGGAAATGTAATTGATGCTGTCTGACTCGAAGTCCAAAGCAGAACACAAAGTTGTATGAGACATTTTAAATGTGTGTCAAGTTCATTGGTTTACAAAGCCCAAAAACATTTTAAAAAGAAACCAAGTGTAACAAAAGAATCCAAAAGTCAATTAGGTGCCTTCGTCCATCACTCTGAAGGAATGTAACAAACAGGAACAAAACATTGCCTTCTATGTCAGATGAACGACATGAGAACAACACACAAATCACAGTAGTGACTGTCTCTTATCTGCAATACATTAATCAACACTTACATTCTTCTACCGCTTATAAATCCTCTCTGTTATACCCAACTTTTTTTCCATTAAGTGACTCTTCTGTGTTTGGTGCCAGCCACGTAAAATACACCTTCACTGGATCAATATTCCAATGCTTGTGAAATGATACTGGAATTTGGTGAGAAAGGTAGCCTTTTGGGTAGTCCATTGGCCTTGCCTAAGATGGAAGAATAAACCAAAACCAGTAGCACTCAGTGACAAAGAATAATTTCAGAACAAGAAATTCAATGTTCAATGGCCTCAGTATCATAACAAAGCAATGTGGCATTGATAAAATACACAAGATGGTAACAGAGGGGTTTTTACATCATTCTATTAAATCAATTGATAGGCATTAGTTTAGATCTTCAACTGCAGTCATCATGCTATGAAGTACACTGATATTAAATACGCCCTCTTTCTGAGGATGAAATGGTCACCATCTATGAAAGCAAGTGATAAACAGTATAGTTTGTTGTATTGTATCTTTTTTAAATACACAGGTTTGGCTCGATAATGACAAAATGATATTAAGTAATAATCCTCTTGCTTGTCCTCTTAATAAGAGTTGCCAGGCCTGCCAGTGTGATTATAGGATCCTAGTAAGGCCATAAGCAACCGAAATATATGAAATTTTATGATGGGGAAGGGTTACCAAGCACAGAAAATACTGTGGTGCCAGAAAAATGCATTGTTATTCTTTATCAGGTTATATCAAAAGAGACAGAATTACAACACAGCTACATGATGCAGCTGACTTCTTAATGCACCAAGCATGTTTCATTTCCTCTGACAGTTTAATGGCATCTAAGTGCATCATTATATAAAAAAGCCCCACCTGTACTGGTCCGTGGTAAAATAACGAGATTTTGCCATTGTAAATACTTTTTGTATGAAAGACACACGTTTGTTTTCTAATAGATGCAAAACACATGAAGAAAATCAAGTGATTTGGATATTGAATCACTGATTTGATGCCTAAGCTAGTAACTGATTTAATACCGCCCACTTCACCTACTTATGGCAGTATTAATGAATTCTACATGCTGCATTCTTCAGGCAGTTCCATATACACTCCAGTCATAAAATTAGGCAACAGGATTTGACATTAAGAAATCTAAGTACATGGTGGTGTTGGTTTTTTTTATTTTGAGATTTAAACCACAGAGTGCCTATTTTAAAAAATTCCACTGCAGAAGTCAAGAGGGAGCCTATCTCCCTCAAGACTTTTATGAACATTTAGGTTTCAAAAACCTGAAGAATTTACTTTGGATAGAGACAGTTTTTGGATAACTGAGACCAAAGATTTTTGCTGTTTGAAAATCAATCTGCTTTTTATTGAGCTATAGTTTTGATAATTCTAAAAGAATGAGATCTGCTCTAGTAACTACAATTTTTATTACAGTGCTCTCTAAGAATCATACTGCTGTATAGGTGGTTGACCTTAAGATATAAATTCCCTAAATTTCTTCTTCCTTCCATTTTGAGGAATAAGTTATTGCAATCTTTTCTTTTTTTTTTTTTTTTTTTTGTGCTAGTATTTGCATTTGGTATTCTACAAGAGCCAAATATGTTGCTCTTGCACAGATTTTACATTTTAAGACCACAATCCTGGCTGCTACTAGAAGGTTCCTGCTCTCTTTAGGAGTCTCCTCATGTCAAAAGCCTCTGGAACAGGTTACAGAATACATATCTATAGCATGTAGCAAACAGGAAACCAGTAGGAGCGAGCAAACACTGTTAAATCATAGATGCTCTAAGTATGAAGATATCTTTGCTTCTGTTTCATAATATATACACGGTACAATTTTGTATTCATGTACTTCAAGGAACACTGTACGTTATAATATTCCAGTCAAGTCTTTACAAAAATAATTTTCTGGTTGACAGAAAATCCAATTTTGGTTTTCTCATTTTTAAAATATTTGTTGCATAATAGTGGAATTCATAGAATAAGTACACTCAATTTTTATTCAGTAGTTTTCCCCCCAGGGCTAATTTTTGTTCAAGGTATGTTAAATTAGAATTTGCTATAAGCAACAGTAAGGATCAATTTTGCAATTCAAGTGTAATTTTCTGTGTGGAAAATCAAACTGCTAGGATTTCACTTTCCAAGTGATACAGTATCAAACGCACGCCATTAAGGATTGCAAGGAATTGCTTTGCTTTGTTGTATAAGGGCCGTTCCTACAAATTTGTAAAATGAGTTCTGTTCTTTCTGAGTGTCCTTTAATTAGGTGTTGGGTTTTTTTTAAACATCTGTGCATGACCAAACTATACAATAACTCTGCTGATTTTATAAGATGCATTACTTGCTTTCTTTCATACTTATACTGAAAGGAGTAAGCAAGGATAAACAAAACAGGAAAGTAAATAAATTGGATTTTTTTTATATGGACAGGGAATTAAAAGATTAAATAGTGTGTTCTCAGTCTTCCCATTTCTCTAAATGGTAAATGTAATCAGAAAGAAAATCCTCAGATACGAGAAACGAATAATATAAATAGCAAGCCCCCCCAAACAGCTGCTTTGAATTACATGGCAATTTACTAATTTTCAAGTAGCCTATTATCTTAATCTCAGTTCACATTCAGATGCACAGGTCTTTTCAGTTTTTAAACTAGATTAACACCTGAAAAACATCAAACACTACGCTGATATAAATGCTGATTTTTTTAAAAAAATGCACTGTTTGGGAAAAATCGTAAGTGCTGCTTCTCTTTAATGTCATGGGAGGAAGGTAAAGTGTTTATTTGGTTTACAAGGCAGCAAATCTCTCTGGGACTCAACGCATCATGTTTTCCACTGTGACACTACAGTTAGATTGTTAAATATTCTGGAAGACAGAAACAGCATTCAAATCTATTCCAACCCACTTGTCCCAAACTGCAGAACACACTCACAAAAAAATTATGTTTTGTGACCTCTTTTTCCCTTGTGCTAGCATAAGGCAATTTATCATATTTATACCATTCTTCATAATCCACCACAAAAGCAACAGTTGTAGGAATACTTTTACATTTTATATCTTCACTAATGAGATATTTCAGAATCGTAAACACTGAATCAATAGAAAAATCAAGTAAGTAGAGAAGACAAATTTACTGAAAAATTTCACAGTCAGTGCTCTACTACCTAAGAAAAAAGTATTGCAGGTGGGTTTTTTTCATTTCTTAGAGGACACATCACACATATTCAAAGCATGTGGCTCCTAATTTGATTTGTTTTTCAAAGTTCCCACCTCTGACTGCATTTTTTATGAAATGCGGTCATAGGGTAATTGAAATATCTTATAAACTACTAAGGCATCATAGTAATCCATGCTTTGAGAATATTCCTATTTGCTTGATCAAACTTGTTCTGGAGAGAAATAAGGTATAGCAGCAGTATCTTGGTTTTAGTTATTACACATTGATAGAGCCTGCAATACTTACGAATTTGGAACATTTATGAGTCCTGTTTTACATGTATACTTAAAAGAATAAAATATATTTTAAATACTAGTAAAAATAACTCTCTAACCTGATGGAAAAGTGGACTATGTGTTATAGGGATTCCTAAGCCACTGAAACACATCCCAAGGACCATATCATCAGGCGCGTCCATGCTGTAACACCGGCATTTACTGGCAAGTAGTTTCTGCACAGCTATTCTGCTAAAAACCATCCTGAATAAAAAAAGCAAATGAAACGTATAAGACAATAACTACTTGAGAACCCAAATGACTGTGGTTAATAAATATTGCTAAACAATATAAAACTGCAAGACAAAATGTAGCCCTCTGGTACAAAATATCTGAAATTTCAGAAACTTGTGAAGTCAGTACTGACAAGTAGTGCAAGAGGCATGTTCTGAAAGATAATTACTTTATATAATGAAAACTAATGATACTAATTATGCCAATTGTTGTTATTCCAACAATTACTTAGCTAACCACCATTTTTGCTGCAGCTGATAATTCCTCCTAAATTTGTCTGGGACTCTAAAAGGATATTCCCCCCTATCTTTCTCAAATGTATTGTCCACTTAGTTATCATGCAGCGATTAAATGAAAAGAACTCTAAACCTGAACTGTCATTCCTTGAATCCTCTGTTATACAGAGTTGTCTCCATAAGTTAAAAAAATGTTCCTTGAAGCCATCGCAAGGCTCAAAGTTCATCCTAACTTTCTTGCTCATCTAAATACCAATCAGAGCATGGAGCTGTTAGATCATTATCACTAAAATAAGTCTTCAATGGACCAGAAACACGATGATGTCTTAAATTCAACAGCTGAGGGAATATACTCTTGCCTAGTAGTCCATAGCTGCCTTTTCTGAAGTTATATCATTCACCCAATCTGATCAGAATACAGGGTACTCTAGCTACTACAAGTTATACTAATAAGATTCACACTCTGAAATTGCTACATGTTTTCACGAGTTCATTCACTATATGACAATCCTTCGCTTGTCACTGGGACATGGAAAAACTTTTACAGATACTGAATGCTAAGGCAAAAAGACTGACCTAAGAATACTGTCAGATTAAAGTTGTAAAATACTCCATCACTATCATTGCAACTTTGAAGACTGTGTGTATCATAAAAAGGAAAAAAGGAGAGCACAATAGGAAGTCGTATCTCAGTACTCAGATCAAATAGAGAAGAAATAATAAGCTAGAGCCTTGAAAAAAATGAAAAAACAAAAACAAAAACAGAGTTGGGACTTGTGAGCAGCATGTGTTGCTACACAGAAGGTGTGACATAAATTGCACACATTTGGGGAACATACTTGCTAGTTGATGATCTGGACAGTGTTCTTTCAGTTATATAGAATTCTTCACTTACAACGAATCTTCTCAATATTAGGATATGGAGCAAAGTGGATATCTGCTTAAACCTGAGAATGAAACTAACCCCCAAACTTCCACATCTAGATGACAGGACAGAAACTAAAAGATAAACACTAAAAAGAGATAGAAGTATAGGACTGGTAACCAACAAAAATACCAGCACCAATAAAAGGTTTGCTTCTTAGCTCAAGCATAAAACCTGCTTAAGGGAAATTTTATGCTTTAGACACATAAGATGGACAGATCAGAGTCTTAAGGTCATTCTTACTGCAGTATAAGCCAACCTGAAAGTTCATATACATGTTAATTTAAACCAAATTTTGCATACAATCATGGGAACCCTGGTGCCTCATGCATGAGATCAACCCAGAATGATCTCTTTCTCTGAGAAACTCTTTTCCAGGACATAAACTTCAAACTCCTTCCTCAGCCACCTCTCCATAAAACATTGCATGAAGTTGAAAAACAGAAGGAGAAACATGATTATTTTTCTCCACGCTTGAACAAAGAGTGAGAACGGGAAGGAATATTTTCATTGCAGCAATTTGTATCGGTAGGTGTGCTGCTTTAGATTCTCCTGCAAACTCCACAACAGTTCAGATCACAAGTGTATTTTTTAAGCAACTATCCCAAGTGTCTCTAGCTACTCACTTTGAATCACATTGTAAGACCGTCTCTGAGTATGCAGAATGAATTCTATCAGATGAAACAAGGATGTATGATATGCACCAGGAGAACATGTGGTGCAGGTAATTGGTAATAGGCACTCAGTTCACAGGACCAGTCAAGCCAAAATGACACCCCTGAAATATGCATGATCCTTAGCACCAACTGCTTTGCTCTACAAATTTCTTCCCAATGGGCCACACAACTCCTTACTAGTTTGGACATTTGGGTCTTTGAGCATCATTACATTTTAATCATACTACAAAACATCACTGTTTCTGTTGAAATTCATTTGTGTTGTAATTCTAAACACTTGCATTCAAAGCAGGGACTGATGTAGATCTCAGTAGGAGTTTAAATAAATTACCCTCCTCCACCAGTGATATAACTATATCCTCCTGTTCCCAAGCCGTAGCCGTAACGCTCTCCAAGAAATACTGGTTCATTTGGGTCATAGCAGCTGAGCAATTTTCGGAGTCTGAAGATACTGTAATGTGAAAATCCATTTAAAAAAAATAATCATGTAGACATTAATTTTGAAACAGACATCACTAGCCTAAATGGCATTCTAGTAAGTAGCACAAAAATGATAGAAATTCAGAAATTCTACAAAAAACAGAGATACAAACTTTTAAACAGAAATTTATGATGGGTTATTTACTATGTGATATGATGGCTGAATTTGGTCAAATGATGAATCAATAGCTTAGAACATTTTTCTGAAGAAGCAGGCAAAGTTTCTCAGCAAAACTGAGTCTCATCTCAGAGAAAACATATGATTATTTTTGCCAAACAATGCTTAAGATCTTTGCAAATGATCTTTTCTCCTCTTTTAGGAACTGAAAACAAAAAGGTAGATTCAGTTATACGAGTATTGCGTTATCTACAATTACAGCCTCTTTCAAAGTCATCTTCTGTCACATGACTGAATGTAAAGGATTGTCTTGAACCACTTATTCTCATGTTCATGACCATGTGATCCAGCTGGCTGATCACTGTGCCTTATTTCACTTATACTGCAGTGCCACTTTTCATGGGAATGGGATCTAATTTTCTAATAAAGGCAAACCCCTGGACGCAGCTCTGTGTGGCTCTGACAAACTGACCCTAGCTTACAGAATCTTTCTTCTGGCACATTTATGTGAGGAATGCACCTTAGAAAGTGTATTAGCAAATGACTAAAACCAATCAGCTCAGACAGCAAAGAATCACAACGTGTAAATTGTTTTTAATATCAGTCAAGGAATGCTGAAGGGAAAGTAACGATTTTTTTCCTTAAAGGAATATAAAGCTACATAACTAATAAAACAGCTGTATCTCTTAAAGACAGCAGAGATGAGTATTGCTAAAACTCCTATCAATATGAACAGTGGTAATTCCTGAAGTATTGCAATGTATACCTTATCAGCGTGTCATCATCCACTATGACTAACCAAGGAGTTCTGGGAGAACTATTATTCAAAAACCTTTCCAAAATGGCAAAAGTTTTCCCACAGTGACCTAAAGGAAGAGAAATAACAGAATATATACATTTAAATAAAATGAGATTTTGTAATAAACAATTATTCATGAATTAAATAAATATTTTTCTGCACTACACAAAACATGTTGGAAATGACTGGCAAAATATTTGAGATGCAAGTTTAAATTAGATCCTTTGTTGTGCTGAATGGTATTTGTACAAATTGTTCCAACATGATTATTTCTTTCTATGCAGGAACATATTTTTGAAGCATGCTGAAGTATGGAAATTCATTGGATTACGGAAACCTGAAAAATAAGCTATATTCCAGCTATACTGTTAAGCTGTTGGATAATACCACGCAAACTACTACTTTTAATTTCCAAAACCATAAAATGAGGAGACTATGATAGAAACATGTTCTGCAAACCACACCAAGATACTTTCATAGTATTTCATGATGCACCAGGCAGGTTCATTGCTTTTATATAAATATTTCAGTCTACAGTAATCTACCGTACTCATCACCAGCAACTCAGGTCCTGATAGTTTCCTCTGAGGAAAGGTCTTAACATTTATCACAAGACTATAATGAAGTTGAGATGTAAAACACCCTTATTCAGAATAAGCAGGACAAGAGAAACAAGAATAGAAAGAATTTTCAGACTTCTACTGAATCTTTTTTAGATCTCGGAAAAAACTAATTGCAAAAAGTCTTTACCCATCTAGATCAGAGTCAACTCATTATCAGTATTACAATTACTAAAAAAGCATTACAAAAATAAGGATAGTATACTATATTTGAAGCTACTTCCAGTTAAAATATTTTTTTGAGAAAACGCAGTAACTCTCTGCTTCAGAAATGAAGGGAGTCCTGGCTTTGCAGATTTTGTGAAAACCATGAACTTAATGCAGACTAATATATGAACACGCACAAAATTCAAACCAAGATTTCTGTATTATATTCCATCATGAAAGATGGACAAAAATAGTATTAGAGCAAACTCAGCACAATTTGTTTAGTTTAGAACACCAGGAGCCCACAGGTCCCACTGCTCCCCGCAGCAACGCTGTGGTTGAACGTGGAAGATCCCTTCCTCCTGGCATGACTAGAACTACTAGGCACGGCTTCTACAGACAGTCCACGCGTGCCCAGCAGGTCTGCTGCCTCCTGAAAACACAGGTCGCACATGCACGCTGCACCTCTGCAAATGGAAATCCCTGCCTATTTCTCTCTGCCTCTAATAAACCCTCTGGAGGACAAAAAAAAAAAAGGGCAGCTGGAAATAATCCAGAGATCAGAACAACGGACCTAGTGAGCCAGACAGAGCTAATAGGCCACAGCTTGGACACCTCTAATTCAGAAGGTAATAGCCTGTAGCAGAGACTATACGCCCAGGAACAATAGATCAAATAGAAAAAAAGCCCTAAAATTAATAAACTCAGGGAAGCCATCATATCCATAGCCTTTTTTCTATTCAAACACAAAGTAAATTACAGTAAACCCACATTATTTGTCATAAAAAGATCCTCCAATCGTAACATTTAGGTTTTGCGCTTAAATCAAGGAATATTAGGCACAATCACATAATATTTGAATACCATACGGTAGGCAGTTTATGCTTAGTAACCAGTTGGCACTGTCTGAGGTCTTTCGACATAAATCTATGACTTCTGCTACTTACTCCAGATCGTCAGTAACTCAAGAGTTCTTCCTCCTACCCAGAGTAATAACACCAATTTTTGTCTCTTGGAGTGTACCACGCTTTCATACTCACAGTATTTAGGTTTCTACTTACAAGAACATTCCACCTACATAAGTGAACTGTACTCTCCGTCCATTTCCTGGATGGCAAAAGCATTCTTTTAGTTTAGGCTGCACAAGCGTGCTACAGAAATACAGAACTCCTGAATTATATAATATACATGAATTATACATACCACCCATAAAACTTAGATGGTTATTTGCACAAAACTGACAACAACAGTGAATAGCTCACCTCTGTCAGTATTAGGTATGCCTAAATCTATAGTAGGAATGGAGATATCTGCGTAATCACTGTAGTATTCAATAAGGGCAGCTTCTCGTTCCCAAGTCTGCTTTACAACTGGTACTGCAAAACAATTGTTGACATTGAAACATAAGTAACTTGATTAAAATAAGTACCTGGTCAAAACATTGATGCACCTTGCTGACTGACATATCCCTTAGCATGGTAATGAAAATGGTGTTTCAAGCACAGCATCATTGTTTTAAATGTTCATTTTTTTCCTACAATATTTAGAGAGAAACAATTTTACATTTTTATGAAAGCCAGTCAGGGCAGTTTTATGTATATAGTAATAAATTTCCTTTTAAAATATGACTATAGTATCATTCATATTACATTGAAAACAGTGATGTTTACATTTATGCTAAGCAAAGTGTGGAATTCATTACTTTTACACTTTATAGCACACATCAGCACAAACACTATCAGGGATCAATCATTCTTCAAGTATTGAAACTGTCACATTTTAAAACCAGCACATCCAACTGTACAGCATGTAAAATATTCTGAATCAGAAACTGACCAAATACACATTTTGAAATACTACACTTGTGTTATATACATCATATCTGACAGCAACGTCATGTTAATGCTCAAAAGCACCTGTCTCTGGAGATACACTCACAGAAGGACATTTATAAATATTATACAACCAATTTTTATCCCATGGAGTTTCTTCTCAAAGGAGGACTGCTTAATGCTTCTCTGCAAGAGCAATCCTTTTCTTATTAGTTTGTTATTTGATGCAAACATTTAAAATTTATAGCATCATTATTAGAATTTTGTATGATCAATGTTTAAATTATATGCAGACGTGAATAAATTATGGGTAACACAAAAAAAGCTGAACATCTGCAGGGTGTTTGGAAGAGAATGATCAGATTATAATGAATGATTTTTTTCCATTTTAAAAATTAAATGGTCAGGACTTAGATGAACAACTACTGTGAAACATTGTGCATTCTGCTATCATTGTTTGTCTGCTTTATGTTCTTTGACACCATCCAGTCAGTATCATTAGTAGTAGCTAGCTCTTTAAATGGAGGAATTATTTACATAACTTCCCATTACAGAATCACAGAATCATTAAGGTTGGAAAAGACCTTTAAGATCATCAAGTCCAACCGTCAACCCAACACCACCATGCCCACCCACTAAACCATGTCCTCAAGTGCCATGGCCACACGTTTTTTGAACACTTGCAGTGATGGTGAGTCTACCACCTCCCTGGGCAGCCTGTTCCAATGTTTGACCACTCTCTCAGTGAAGAAATTTTTCCTAACGTGCAATCTAAACCTCCCCTGGTGCAACTTGAAGCCATTTCCTCTCATCCTATCACTAGTTACTTGGGAGAAAAGACGAACACCCATGTCACCACACTCCCCTTTCAGGTAGTTGTAGAGAGCGATAAGGTCTCCCCTCAGCCTCCTCTTCTCCAGACTAAACAACCCCAGTTCCCTCAGCCGCTCCTCGTAAGACTTGTGCTCCAGACCCCTCACCAGCTTCGTTGCCCTTCTCTGGACACACTCCAGCACCTCAATGTCCTTCTTGTAGTGAGGGGCCCAAAACTGAACCAACCAACCATTGTTGCTAAATAACTCTGACGCTTGTGAACAACTCATTTTAGCCTCTTTCTGGAATCATCCATCACCTAACTTGATGTTTGTTGCCTACCTACTTGCACGCTTTCCTCTACTCTGATCACAGAGATTTGTAGGATTTATTACTCTTGATTGACCAATAGTCAGTTTCATAAGACTAAAATGAATTGAAAGATGACTGTTAGGACAGAGTAATAAGAACTCATTGCACTAATGGAAAGGCTTTAATACTTGGAAAAAATGTAATTCCACTTCTGTAGCATTGTGCAATGGACAATACTGCTTTTTAGAAGTTTTAGATACCTAAAACTTCTCTCAAATTTTTGCATTAAAAAATCCAAAGGGAATTATGTACAAAAAATATGCTCATACAACATGATAGGGGAGTTTTGAAATGCAAAGCCAGGAATTTCACAATATGTTAACTCTACCTCCTATGTACTAAGAAGTCACATTACATCATATAATAACTGCATGATCATGTATTAATTGACAGAGAATGAGATGTAAACTTTTTTTTTCCCCAAATAGAATAAAAAACCCAAGTAGGCAGGAAATTATTTTCTTATTTTGTAGAAATGTTCTATTTCAAAAGTGTTTCTCAGAAGAACAAAATCAGAAAGCTTTCAGAAAGGCCCCAATACAGAAATGTCATAGATACACAAAATGCTTCCAACTTTGACCTGGCAGAAGAGACCCTGCTGTAAAGGCTGTTTCACCTTTCTCCAACCAAGGACCTCAACCTAAGCAGGGTGCTTTAACATACAGAACTATTTACTGTTACAGACTGAGCCTCTCAATTTCTTCAGTGGAGTCCCTCTTTTTTGTATAAATGAAAAAAGTTCACTCAAGCCAGGACCTGAGTCTCACCTCAGTTAAGTGGTCTAACAAGGGGTCTACTGGCTAAAGCATCTTTTTCTTTTCCTTGTTTGTTTTGACAGAAGTGTCACCATCCAGACTAATGTCTATCGTAAATTGAATCCCACAGTACTTTGTAATTTCTAACAACTTGTATGTTCCAAAGAAAGAACAACTGTTTGAAATTTTTGATTAGCTGTGGATGCAAATATTTATCAATATGTATTAATACTTGTGATCACACAGAATTTTTAATACTGCACTACAGAGATACTTATAGAAGGTCAGCTCTAAGCTCTTAATTATATTTTGTTTGTGCTATTTCTAGAACTTTGATGCATGTTTGCAGTCTTGAAATGTTCTTATAGAACCATATACGGTATGTGTAAGGAGAGTTGTATCTGAAGTAAATTCTGAAGTAAAATTTAGCTGCTTTTGTACATCGAATTCCAATCCTTAATGTTGCACTTATGTAGTTTTTGGCATACAACAAAAAATGACTTACCAGGTAAAAGGAGCTCTCTGAAGCTGGCATCCATTAATCTTTCAAAATCTTGAGTAAGATTATCCTCAGTTATTGCATAACACTGGAAGCTGTGAGGAAAGTTCAAGAATTTTCCTCAGTCTTCAACAGGTGTTTCTTGAAGGATGTTTACACTACCTTTTTGAAGCCTTATGTTTTTTTCTGACTTTGTAGGTTTGGGGGTTTTTTGTTTTAATTTTCGTGTAAGAAAATGAACATGGATCCAGAAAGGAGAACTCTTCAGTGAACTCCAATTACAGGACAGTCAACTTTGTTTTGTCAAAGGCTACTTTAAAGATAGCTTAATGATTAGGTGATTAAAATACTAGAAATGTGCCTTCATTAAGTGCAGTAACATTAAGAAAAAAATTGCATAAATCTTATTTTGAAGAAAAAACCCAGCAACTGGCAAATAGTCTAAATTTAGAAGTGACAGAACCTAGTTTTAGATGCCTTAGCAAAGGGGGACTTAGTTAAGGAAAGAGCTTTTATGTTCATCCTGTCCTCTGATGATAGGTGCAGCAACCCGCCTCCCTCCCAAAGTTGGTACAACTACTAGCCATTATTTCATTTTGAAAATTTTTTTCCAATAATAATCACTTTAAATTAAGCTTATGAACAAACTAAGCCTAATGGTGACAATATTATGTACCTGGTGTATTCAAGGACACACAAAATTCACGTAAATTCCTGGAAATAAATCCATTCCTGAATTTCCTTATTAACAAAATGTCTAGAAGTAAACTGGAATGGACTGGTAGGTGGCATCAAGTAGGTAGTGTCTTCTGTTAAATCAGTGGATTTGGGATTTTTCCTTCCAAGTTTTGTAGACACTGGATCTACGTACCTCAACATAGCTGAGGCTTACTGTGTATTAGCTGAAGCTGAGTGTCCCTCTGTATCTTTATTTTCTGTGCCTGTGAGAAGGAAGTTAATACTCACTTGTTGGGCTGTGCTAGGTTTTTTTTTCAGGTGTTGTTTTTACTATAGATATCATGGTCATATTTTCATGGTGACTATCATTACTTGTATAACAGTACAATTGCAAGATGAAACATGCTATAGTGTTATACACTTGGGAGGCTCTTGATCTGGGCCATGGCTTGTACAAAGTACTACAGATGACAAGGTTTGTACAAGAGCCAAAATTTCCCATTCCAAGTGTTAGAAAACACCTCTGCACATCCAATTGCATAGGGTGACAATAGAAGCAATACGACAGGAGGGGAGGGAGCCTTCAGTTTGTTCGAATTTCTGAATCAGCCACCATACAGCTGCACAATTGTCACTGCTAGTACAAGGAACAGAACCGAAACAATTATCTGGTGGAAACACACTGAAGGATATTAATAGCGGCTACATTAATTAATACTGCAACAGCTCAAATTTACAACAATATAAGCTAACTTCATGCATATTTTTAATTTAGGTATTCAATTTCAAGGTTTTTGCCAGCCAATCACTAATAATGAAACATCAAATGACCACAGCTTTTTGTCTCAAACATTTCACAGTCTCCTGAAGAACTTGAAAAAACAAAGAAAATTTCTATCTAAAGAATATGCTGTTTACAGTTCTGAAGCTTTCATGTTTCCCAGTGGATTTTGCAAGCATTTAGTCCCAAAGAGCTACAGAGACAGCATGTATCAGCTTGTTTTTTAAATATTAATTTCATAAACTATATTGCATAGAACTACTACCTTGACTAACCAACAACTTACTTCTGTCTGCATGAAATTTCTGACATGTTTTTACAGCAACAAAGATATCTTCCTTTTTCACCGGCTCTCCCTGTATGAACAGAACAAACAAGAACTTTGTAATTGTAGGTTCAGCCTGTAACATTTTATAGGATATGTATGTCCATGCATATAATAAAACAGAAATACCTTTTCAGTGTTGTGCTGGTTTTGGCTGGGACAGAGTTAATTTTCTTCACAGTAGCTAGTATGGGGCTATGTTTTGGATTTGTGCTGAAAACAGCGTTGATAACACAGGGATGTTTTCATTATTGCTGAGCAGTGCTAACACAGAGCCAAGGCCTTTTCTGCTTCTCACCCCACCCCACCAGCGAGCAGGCTGGGTGTGTGCAAGAATTTGGGAGGGGACACAGCTGGGACAGCTCACCACAACTGACAAAAGGGATATTCCATACCATATGACGTCATGCTCAGCATATAAAGCTGGGGGAAGAAGGAGGAAAGGGGGAACATTCAGAATTATGGTGTTTTGTCTTCCCAAGTGACCGTTACACATGATGAAGCCCTGCTTTCCTGGAGATGGCTGAACACCTGCTGCTGATGGGAAGTAGTGAATTCATTCCTTGTTTTCTTTTGCTTGCATGCCCAGCTTCTGCTTTATGTATTAAGCTGTCTTTATCTCAAAGCATGAGTTTTCTCACTTTTACTCTTCTGACTCTCTCCCCAATCCCACTGGTGGGGAGTGAGCGAGCAGCTGCTTAGTTGCTGGCTGCAGTTAAACCACAACAACTGTATAGAATATCAAGTAGAATAGTGTACCAATAATACAGTAGAAAGTCCATTTTTGCCTCTTGAAAAGTGGTTTAAAATTCATGAAATATCATTATTGAAATACTTCTTCCATTGATGTAGTATTCTAACATGAACTAAAACACATATCATTACAGAAGGAGAATGAGTAGTAGAACTTGTTGAACTAAGAAAGATTAATCTGAAAAAGAATGTTTTTTTTAATTTCTTTGAAATTAATCACTGTGACAACATGTTGAACTGTATCATACTTGGTAAAAGAAGTTTCAGTGCTACACAGTAGAAATCTGAATTTTCTCAACTGTAATACAGTCTTTTAACCTTTTTTAGTTTTTCTTCTTTTTGGCAACTAGAATTTTGCTCTCCTGGAAGCATGGAGCACTTTTTGGCCTCTAGCAACAGTTAGCCCATAATATCGTAAATGTATTCTCCTAGAGGTGGAAGAGATGGATTGTACTTTAATGCACCAAATACTATATTGCATTTTATCTTTAACCTCAATGAGTTTTAGATTCCCATTTGCGAGAAAAGATTATCTATACTTCAGTACCTCACAGAAATGTATGGAGAAATACTTTATAGATCATGGGCTGCTCAAACATTGTGGTAGAAAGACCCATTAAACCATATGCAATATTTGTTTGCCAGGAAACATCCTGTGCTATGGAAGGCTGAAAGCATATCTAAAAATAGATAAATGCAAATATATTTTTTTTAACTTAGTGAAAAATATTTTCTTAAGGTGTGAGACTTTCAAAGTCAAGTATTATGCATTTTAGTAAGAGTTGGATCTTTACTGAGCAAGTGGTATTTAAAATACAGTACTTACACAAAGTGGCAGAAAATTACTGAATGTTGTTGCACAATGATCAACCTTATACGAGTTCACATCATCTGTGCAGAACTCAGGCACTGGAGTAAGATGTGGTCCTTCCCCTTTCTGCCAAATATACAGGGCAATCTATTAAAATAGAAAACATCTATATCAGTAATGAAACTGGATAAAAATTCTCAGGGCATACAAAGAAATATTACTACAGAACAAACTTAACAGGAAAACTGCAGAATATGGGATGTTGTAGAGGATTTGTCCCTAGTTGATTAACTAGCTACATACCTTACTTTTTGCTCATGTTTCTAGAGCCAGCACATAACTTTTTTGCTATAAAAGAAATTCTAAAGAGAGACAAGTTTTAAAATTTGTTTTGCTGAATTACAATTATTTTCATATATTTAAGCATGTCAAAACAATTCACCTTTAACTGTTATAAGAAATAGTAGAGTGAATATTTACACCTCCTTTTAAAGTAAACAAAAATCCTTATTGTGCTGCTTTTTTAAAATTATTTTGATAATTTGGAATAGCTAGGCCTGTTTCATCCTATGTGACAATTTTCAGCTTTTCAAAACAGATCCATTCTCTGGTGACAATTTAAAGTGCTTGAAATCTGTAATGAAACTCTGAGAAGCTGTAAAATACAACGAAGGATAATGTAATAGATATATTACCCTATAGTAGACTCTTGTCCATTTTAAATGCAACAACAAAAACAAAGCCAGCCAAAATTTACAGAGGAAACGGAAGAAGCAAACCAGTGATGTCTGAAGAAGATAAAAATCCCACCTCTTTTTATTTACATTCAATTCATAATAAAAGAGTATTTCAATCTGTACGTCATGACACATCAAGAACACTTAGACTTGCCCCAAATTTCTACTGCAGTACTTCTACACTGCTTATAACTTTCCCAGACTAAGTATTCAGGTGGGAAAGTTCTACACTGGGTGCCTACCTCAGACCAATTGAAAGATGCACTTCATTTCATAAAAAACTGTTCTTAAACTTGTAAGAACAAAATTAAGTTCTTAAAAGTCTAAGAGGCAGAAAATAATATCTCAGTACGTGGATCCAGAGCTTCTCAGCCGCACTGCCATACACTCCTGACTCTGAATGTTTAGTCTCTCTTGAGGACAGGCCAAAGATGTGAACGCACCTTTGGACAAGAGCTATTTGAGCATATACTCAAGATGCAGGAGATCCGGGTTCTAGATTTGCTTCTGCTTAACTCAGAAGTTACAACTTCCAGTTTTCAAAAGGGTGCCTACACCAACAAACCATAGATATTCTGGGATAGAGGCTCTCCATGCTATCTCCTAAAACTGAGTTACTGTGCAAAAAGTAAGATTCATGGAACCAACAAGACAGTATAGCGAAGGGGAGCCTGACTGTACTGCACAGGGGGAATGGGGCTCCTCCAAGGGAGGAAATCAGTCCTGGCTTCTAGTTCCCATTTCCCATGTTATTCACACATATTCCCAAGGACTCTTGCATGGAAAACAAGTTAAATGCTTCACTGGAACATGGGACAGACCCAGCATGCACCAAAGGCAATGAAAATGAGTCTCCTTTTCGCTGTTTTACGCCTACTTAGGAACTGTTAGCTTTAACACCCCCACCCCAAGCCAGAATTCAGCTCTTCTTTTAGCAAATAATGTGATCATTAAGCTATTATTAAGAAGGCATAATATTTCCTTCTCCCCAGCGTTCAGGAAGAACTCGGCGGAAACCAAGAGCATTAAGTATGGTCTTGACAAGCCCAAGTCACCAAACCGGTTACAGGCTTCTAAGTTATAGAGGATTATTTTCCTACACATCTCACTTAGGCCTCAACATCCTCAGAAAATTCCAACCACCTGCACACAGCCTTTTCTGGAACTTGGAGGGGAGACAATAGAAGGTGCCAGCTTGTTACAGGCCCTGTTAGGACTGGGCGCAGGCTTGAGAGTACAATCATATTTTTGAAACTTAAGCTTCCAGATTTGAAATATTTTTCGATAGGGTACAGTCACATACTAGAACACAATTAACTGATGATGTTTTAGCAAGTTGCTGATTGTAACTGGGCTGTCATAACTACACATGTGCTCTTAGACCACCTCAGCTGCAAAGTAAAAGCATTTAGTTTGCACTGAAAAGAGTTTAAATTACTGTATCTTGCCTTGTGATTGAGCAGATGTAGATGACTGGGAGCTGTGAGTGCAAACACGGTCACTACTACAGCTCAGCTGATAGTGACTTGCTAAACCACTGTAACTCAGCTGCAGATTCTTTCAATACAACGAGTTTTGCAGTTTGCAAGTTTTAATTTCTCTTAGCCTCACCATTATGAAGTGGTTTGTGTATTTGCTTGTATTTGTGTGTATTTTGTACACACTTGTGTATTTGTGTATTTGCTTTAGCAATGCTTCTGAAAACACGGACGATCTTAGCATTACAGATGAGTTCAACAAAGTACTAAAGGGAAAGGTCACTCTATAGGGAAGAAAATGCATAAGCATGAGTGGCGGTTAAGACAAATACTGTTTTATAGTGCTTGGAGTAGAGGAAGGAGTATGGAAATGACACACACTCGTGGTAAGGAGCAGCCAATAAACACACACACATCTCCAAGGTTATCTTTTTGCCTTGTCACTGCATTCACATGATGGGATGTAAATGGTTCTTGACCCTGCCTTGCAGCTGGAAGACTACATAACAGCAAGGGATGCGATTTCTAAAGAGCTTCCAGTACGTTTTAAGATTGTATTAGTTCAGAATTCAGCTATTCAGAATTCATGTCTATCACATGAACCAACAAAGCAGCAATGCTTCTGCAGCACAAAGAATTTTTAACAATAGTAACTTAACATGAATTATTTATGAAAGTTCATCATGTGCTAAGATTTCCCACTGAATAATGAAATCTTCAACAGAAAGCCTTAGCATGGTGTGAAGCTATTATATTTCGGAAGTGAGGTTAGAGTGCCATTTTGGGTTATAGAACAGGATGACAGACTGTTCCTAAAACAATGGAAATGGATTTACAACAAAAAGACAAAAAATAGTCTTAGTCCTAGTTCAAATCTAATGTTACATATACAAAAACCCCATTATACACTTCCAGTTTTGAATAAGCATCAGGGAATATGCTATATATTGTGCAGTTACAAAAAGTCTAAAAAACAATCTACAAATGAGCAGCAGCAGTATGACAAAAACCCTTTACCATATCTGCAAGATATGCCTTCCAGATGGAAAGTGATATAAGTGTTATGGATATAAGAAATAGGGACTTGGAAAGTAGTAGGGTCAAAAAAACCTGATACAGAGTCCAATAAAATAGCAAAGACTAGAAGCACATATTATTAGGACTCTATAAAACTAAAACATTTCTTAAAACATTCATCATCCTTCATAAATTTAAATATTATGCGCAATCATTTAAGATCACAGATTACATCCTTTGATTTGTTGTCAATCTTGATTCACACACAAAGGACATAGAGATAAAAATTATTTAAGAAGGAGAAGATGGTGATTTATAAAATAAATGAGGGGGAATGGAACTGTCTCTAGGGAGACACGACACTGTGCAGAAAGAATAACTACAGGGCTGAAGTAGGTTATCAATGGCAATAAATTTGAAATGAAACATATACAAAGAACTCCTAACAGAATAAAAAGTGGATGGAGGTAATTTTTCCCGTCAAGTGATTAATTGTTTTTCATTAAGCAATCTGTTGCACATAAATGAAATGTCTGCTAATGATTTTTTTTTTAATGACACTATGTTTAGAGGCTTTGTCAGTGCTGAGGTAGACTGGAATGTTGGGAATATACAAATGACTTCAAGGCAACTTACAAAGAAAAAGATTAACAGTGTGAAGCCCAAGGTCTTGCATTTAGAAAAATTAACAAGAGGAAAGAAACAGTTTGTTGGCTTGTTTCACGTAGCAAAATGAACACTGAGAGGGGCCCAATTGCTTTTGAGAAATATATCAGTCAAGGAGGGGAAACTATGTGAAAGAATAGTGTTGGCACAAAACCAAATTAATTTAAATATGCTACCAATTTATATTCTATAAATACACTGTAGATTTATGTTGGAAATTAGGAGGTTTATAACCATTACAGAATAAAGATCTGGAACAGCATCAGTATTTTAAGTAAGGTGGTTTATTTCTGGGCAGGAACCACAATTTATAACTGACTTTCAGGAGTTTTAAAAAATTAAAACTACTTCAGTATCACTCAATTTCAAGCCAAAACCAGCAAGCTTATTCCAGACTCATCCTCCCCTTCCACCCTGGTTCAGGAGTTCACTTTGGTAACAGTACAAAACCCTGCGCTGCACAAACATTTTGAAGGCAGAAAAAATAAAAAAGTTTCAGAAAAAGCAGCACTGGCATTCTTTCAGATCCCCGCACACCTTTCTTCTCACGTTCCTTTCGGTCAACTCACTTATTCTCTGAAAGACCTAGTGGCTACCTTTTAAAACCAGAGGCCAAAAAAAATTTCCTGACTTCCATGTTGCAAGTTGCAGAGTTGACTGTTCACACAACAGTTAGGTTCCTCAGACTATTTAATCCAAACTCCATCATATTTAGCTCTTAAGAGTCTGATTTAGAAAGGGAGTAAGGCTGGCTAGTATCTGTGATACTATTCATGTCAGTTTGTGCTTCATGAATTGGAAATCTCTCTCCTTCTTTATGGAGCAAGCCTTAGAAGATACCTTACTGTATACAACCATGTATGTATTCATATACAAATGCAATTTTATTCATGAATTCTTCTATGCTTGAAATACAGTTTTAAAGTATTACAATATTCTAAAGGAAGGGAAAGAAATTAAACATGCTATCACAGTCAAACTTTTTAGCAACATCTAAGACAAATCTGTTATTTCCATTATCATTTATTACCATTCAAATATATAGATTTTAGACATTTTTTTCTTTCATCACATCACTGCTTACCTCATGCTTTAAATCTATTGTAAAGTCTGACTTGAGTGGTTCACTTTTCAATTTCTTTGCAAGCCTATACAATTGAAGATGAAGACATTTACTCAAAAAAACATTTAAAAAAAAAAATCAATCACTAATGTATGCAGCAAAGTGTGGCTGGTATTACTGACCATCTTGTAAGAGGGGGAAAAAAAAAAATCACAATTCTGTACTTATTGCCCCAAGAAACAATTTGTATTTCTTTTTCACATATTTCTTTTTTTCATCTGAGCACAGTGTGATGATGTTAATATTAGTTTTCAGCACACGCACTTTTATGCATTCTTCCTGCCCAAGAAGAAAGTTCTAATCTGGAGTAGATGGAGAGTCTGGTATAACATTTTCAACAGATTAAAAGCAGCGATGCATTTGAAGTTCAATATTTATCAGCATCTCAGACTTCAGACAATATTCTCTATTTGTGTATTCCAAAGCACAGTATTTAGGCACCTTCAATTTATGAAAACATCAATTCTTACTAGAGCAAGATGCATTCAACTTCTGAAATCTATAAACTTTTCAAACCTCCTTTAAAAGCTAAGCATCTAATCTGAAATAAACATCTAGGTTGTCTCTACAGCATGAGAAAAACTTCCAGAGGTCAATGCAGTCACTCTAGCATCCAGGAATAAAACTGCTGCCTGGGTGAGAATAGATTTTTAAAATGACAGGAGATGGTATTGAACTAGTTGAACAACTATACTGGACAACTATTAACCAGCCGACATAAAGTTTTAGACAGGCAGAGCGAAGCAAAATAAAACATATGCACAGCAATAATACAGGAATCTATTTCTGTACCCTCGCCTACTAATGAATTCCCAAGTATTCATTTATAATAACTATGCTTGGAATGTGTAGAATAAGGAAGAAATGGAATTTTATCAAAGGAGTATTTTCTGGGTAAGCTTACAGTGGGAGCACAAGTCTCTGTAGCCATACCCAGAGCTAGCTGTACATTACCATGCCGGGTTGAATATCTTGCTACACACCTTAGATCCTCAAACTGAAGTAGACTTATGTGTATAGGCATGGATGCTGATAATACAGGTGGCAGCAGCAAAAGCTCAGTGTAGGCGTGAAAGTCAAACCCACGAGAGACCAGCCTGCACTGGTTGAGTACATCCCGAGCTGTCTGCCACAGCCAAGCTGCAATCAGCAGCTTCAATTCCAAGACAACTCAATATTAAGATTTGGCTTTGCCTGTCTACATGATCTGCAGTAAGACCATCAATTGTACTGCAGGAACATCTTCATCTTTTATAGAAAACATTAATCCATACGAAATCATAACTCATTAAAATAATATTGATTAGCATCTAGAAAAATTGTATAAATGAAACATTCTTAACTACTATCAATAAACAAGAAATGATTAAAAATTAAATTCTTACTTGTTAACAAGTGGAATGCTAAGCGCCCAACCAGCAGAAAAATCTGGGAATTTAAAGACTGTAGGATTTTCAGCAAAGGCATAATGGTGAATTATTGTAGATTCTTCATCATATAATGCTTTACCTAAAAACCACTCCTGCAAAGGAATATAGGAAACAATTTTTGTTCATCTACAGCATCCTTTTAGGGAAGATGATGATTGCATTCATGTTGAATAAAGCAAACCTGAAAACAAAAACAAGGGAAGAGTATTGTTCACAACAATCCAGACAAAAATTGCACTTGGTAAGAAATTAAACTAAAGGCAGTTCTCTGAATTCAAATACACACTGTATTTTCAAACTCCAGCATGTGCCCTGGATTCCACCTTTTCAAAGAACACTGAATCCCAGAATCACAGAAGGGGTGAGGTTGGAAGGGGCCTCTTGAGATCATCTAGTCCAACCCCCCTGCTCAAGCAGGGTCAGCCAGAGCAGGTTGCCCAGGACTTTGTCCAGCCATGCCTTGAATACAGACCACAACCTCTCTGGGCAACCTGTTTCAGTGTTTGACTACCCAAACTGACTACTGACTAGACAAGACACTCAAAAGCATTGCATTCAGGAACCTTATATATATCCATTTTGAATTTGCATCTGTCTAGCCTCTTTTATACTAGGGAACTTAAAAAGCAAATACATTTTGAATACCTTAATCTTCAAAACAGTTAAATGAACAAGGTCCCAAGTGTGCATTTGTGAAGTAAAAAATTTAGTAGTCTTACTATTGGAGTTTTTAACAGTAGTGTTTAAGAATTCACTACAGACTCTGCTGCATCTGAAAATAATTTACTTAAGTACCACTTCTTTAACATTATTGCCAGGTGTCTTAATCTTTCTGTTTAGAATGGATATATAACAAGTATACCCCCAAATTTTTGCAAAATAAGGACTGTAATGAAGGGAAACAATAATATATTTGTATATACAAAAAAAAATAGAAATGACTTTTCAGGTCTACAAGTACAAACGATGAATCAGAATTCTAAATCACCTTAAAGGTTATATTAAATCTTTCAAGTGTGAAGTTCTTTGCATTACGACAGTAACTCAGGCTTTTCTTTCTCCTGATAATTTACAAGTTGACCACTTAAATAGATTCAAAGTCAGGGCAACTGATTTTTCACAAAAGGCTCTCTTTCTCCATATTCCCTGCTATACTGGATTTTTCCCCTCCTTTAAAGGGCCAGCTACCAGAAAGAACAAAAAATTCCTTCAAGGCATAAGCACAGTTCACAAACTTCACACAAGATAAATAATTTACACAAAATTCAAGACAAAAGGTAAAATATTCAAGCAAAAGTGCTATAGAAACATCCAGCCAAAAAAACCCAACAGTCTAACCCCAAGAGGATTTCGCTTTGCAGTAGCCACCTTTCTAACTCCAAGTAAAAGTTGCTATATAGACTGAGCTAAATTTTTTAGCTCCGCAGAGCCGATGAGGAGGAATGAGTGAGATTTGGACAGGGCGTGGCTGCCTGCAAACAGCAGAAGAGAAGTCTGCATGCACCAGGAGACACCTCCAGCCAAAACCAACGGGCTGAGCCTGGCAGGAGTAAGCAAGCATGGCTGGCCCAGAGGACATTCAGCCTGGCAACCCCCCGGCTTCCAGCCAGGACCCAACCGGGCTGCCCAGAAGGCAACGAAAGTGCAACCCCCTGGGGCTACCAGGGACGCTTGTCTTGCCGCACACCCGGAGTCGAAGCTATGGGGTGGTGCCTGCTTCAAGAACCTCTGCAAGGATGGCCAGGACCCATATAAGCAACCTGGAATCAAAAATATAGGATGCCACCCCCGCCAGGAACCCTGACTGTCCGAGGGACTGATGGAAGTGTAATAATGTTGGATACATGTTCACGTACGCGTGTGTGAGGCATCAAGTGCATTTCCCATGAATTCTGCACATTTCTCCCCTCTATTTAGATTCAGTTTAGTCTTATTGAGAGCAGCTGATCAATCTTGCACTTGACTACAGCCTTCTTCATGTAACAAAAATGTTGAAAACTTGTTTGGTCCCACAATCCCCATGTACCTCCTGAGGCTGAGAGGTAGGTGTTCAGGAAGCTGTTGATGAAACAGCCAAAATTAAACAGATGCTACCCAATAGATGGAAAAGGTAAGGGTGGAGATTTTTTTTCCACCATTTTTTAACCACCTTCATAGGAGTTGCTACTTGGTACCTACTTACTCAGCCATTGATTTATACCTTCAATCACAACAGACCCTGTTTTGTCCTTCCTTTATTGGAAGGATTCAATCGTGTTCACTGGAAGGACTAAAAATCAAAAAAAATATTGGGAGGTAAAAGAAAATGGGCAAACATAGTAATTTTTATGCACAAAGATGACTACCTTGACAGAAAAAAATAATTCTTTAGAAGCATTTGTACACACCATTTTTTAAACTTTTTTAGGGCCTCCAAGGCTTAAAAATGTTCATAATACAAGCACACTATTCTGTTTCAGAAACAGTTAATATATAGTAACATTTTAATATGACAGTACCATCTGCAGACAATTTTTTTCTGTACCTCCACTTAGTTATGCTACAGAGTGAAAAAAAAATCTGTACTTATCCTAATTTTGCATGCTAATTTTTACACCAAAACAATCTATGGTTTAAAAAAACCCAACCTTACTTTCCTTTCTCTATAAAACATAGAAAATTAAACCCATACATATACCCTCCTCAGGCTTTCACACATTATTGTTTCTGGCAATATTAAGCCACAAATCACAGTGAAGGCATTCCAGGTTACAGCCAATACTCTCCAAGCTTATTTGGTCATAACGTTGTTTATTTACTACACTGATATGTAGGACAAGTCAATCTGTACAGGCTGGCTTTCAAGGATAAATTAGTTATATGTGACAGAACTTATAAAGTAACTTAAGGAATGATGGTAATCAAACTGCAGAGGCAAAAATGTGGATGTAAAAAATAATGTGATTTATTGCATTATGGATAACTACCATCCACAGGATCAGTTAATACATTGTGCTTCAAAAATAGCAAAAATCACCTACCTTTAGTTAGAGCACTCCAAAGTCTTTAGAACACTTCAGTAGTTGAAGGAATGTGATGCAACAAAACTCAATACCAGACCGCAGGGAGGGCAGAGGTGCCTTCACCTAACTTGCTTATTAAGTTGATTCTACACATTCACTCTTGTATCCACTTACTCACAAATACCAAGACAAGTGCCCTGAATTCATCTCTTCAAGACTTGCGTCTGACACAGAGGACAGGAGATTTCAGCTGTAACACCCTCACTGTATCTTACAATGTCTTATGAGTTCTTATGATTCACAAAGACAAACTATTCCTAAGACAGATCTTTTATACCCTTTAGGCATCAACAGCTACTAAGCCACTCTCCATAATATTTGAAAAGTACGGGCAGTCAGGTGAAGCCCTGGAGACTGGAAAAAGGGAAACACTGCACCCATTTTTAAAAAAGGTAGCAAGGAGGACTCTTGGAACTACCAACCTGTCAGCCTCACCCCTGTGCCTGGGAAGATCATGGACCAGATCCTCCTGGAAGCTACGCTAAGGCACATAGAGGACAGGGAGATGATTCAAGACAGCCAGCATGGCTTCACCAAGGGTACGTCCTGCCTGACCAACCTTGTGGCTTTTCTATGATGAAGTAACCACATCAGCGGACAAGGGAAAAGCTATGTTTGTCTATCTGGACTTCTGTAAGGCCTTTGACATGGTTCCCCACAACATCCTTGTAAATTTGAAAGATACAGATTTGATGGGTGGACTGTCAGGTGGATGAGGAATTGGCTAGATGGTTGCATGCAGAGAGTAGCGGTCAACAGTTCAATGTCTAGATGGAGATCGATGATGAGTGGTGTCCCTCAGGGGTCCGTATTGAGACCAGTACCCGTTAACATCTTCATCAGTGACACAGACAGTGAGACTGAGTGCACCCTCAGCAAGTTTGCAGATGACTCCAAGCTGAGTGGTACACTTGACACGCCTGAGGGATGGGATGCCATCTAGAGGCACCTGGAAAAGCTCCAGGAATGGTCAGGGCAACCTCCAATATCCATACAGGCTGGGGGATGAAGGGATTGAGAGCAGCCCTGCTGAGAAGGACTTGGGGGTACTGGTGGATGAAAAGCTGGACAGGAGCCGGCAATATGCGCTCACAGCCCAGGCGTGGTACACTTGACACGCCTGAGGGATGGGATGCCATCTAGAGGCACCTGGAAAAGCTCCAGGAATGGTCAGGGCAACCTCCAATATCCATACAGGCTGGGGGATGAAGGGATTGAGAGCAGCCCTGCTGAGAAGGACTTGGGGGTACTGGTGGATGAAAAGCTGGACAGGAGCCGGCAATATGCGCTCACAGCCCAGGCGGCCAACCGTATCCTGGGTTGCATCCAAAGCAGCGTGGCCAGTACGTCGAGGGAGGTGATTCTGCCCCTCTCCTCCGCCCTGGTGAGACCCCACCTGGAGTCCTGCATCCAGCTCTGGAGCCCTCAGCACAGGAAAGACATGGATCTGTTGGAGTGGGTCCAGAGGAGGCCACAAAAATGATCAGAGGGATGGAACACCTCTCCTGTGAGGACAGGCTGAGAGAGTTGGGGTTGTTCAGCCTGGAGACGAGAAGGCTCTGGGCAGACCTTATTGCAGCCTGCCAGTACTTAAAGGGGGCTTAGAAGAAAGATGGAAACAGACATTTTAGCAGGGCCTGTTACGATAGGACAAGGGGTAAAGGCTTTAAACTAAAGAGGGTAGATTAGGAGAAGATGTAAGAAAGACATTTTTGACAATGAGGGTCGTGAACCACTGGCACAGGTTGGCCAGAGAGGTGGTAGATGTCCCATCCCTGGCACCATTCCAGGTCAGGTTGGACAGGGCTCTGAGCAACCTGATCTAGTTGGGGATGTTCCTGCTCATTGCAGGGGGGTTGGACTAGATGACCTTTAAAGGTCCCTTCCAACCCAAACTATTCTATGATTCTAAGTCATTGCTGCCTATCAGCTTGGTTTACATTCTGGATATCTTTGTGACTGTAGTCTATCATCCTGTTAGGATGACAGGAAGAGGAGTGGCACATATAATTTGGTTTAGCCTTGCTGCGGTCTTCCATTAAGGATGTACAGGTTGAATCAATCTGCTGTTGAAACATAGAATCACAGAGGGGCTGAGGATGGAAGGGACCTCTGGAGATCACCTGGTCTAACTTCCCCTGCTCAAGCAGGGCCTCCTAAAGAGGTTGCCCAGGACCATGAACAGACAGTTTGAGAGTTATCTCCAAGGATGGAGACTCCACAACCTCTTTGGGCAACCTGTTCCAGTGCTTGGTCACACTCACAGTTAAAAAGTGTTTCCTGATGTTCAGACATAATTCACCATCTGAGTGCTTGCCTTGAGGTCTTTATGTAAATCAGATATTCCTCACTGGTTTTTTTTTTTTTTTGCAGTTTTACTGCACTCAATAATGTTCTTGGTTATCAATGCAGGTCATTCTCTTTACATTTCTCCACAGGCTCTTATAATACTTTCACACATCTGTTTTCACTCAATATTACATTCATAACAGCCTCAATAGTTCTATTAGTAATCTCTACATATCCAGATTGAAAAGCTGCAGATTCATCAACTATTCACATGCCCCTTGTAGACTTTTTATTGTGATTAATGTATACCAGCTTTTTATTATGCAGACTGCTGACACTGTAAAATGAATAATGAATGAGCTCATTCTAGTCTAACTCATCTTAAATTTTGTGATTGATGGACTACTACTATATACAAGGAATCAGTTATAGACTGTTGCACTAAGATGACAATTAACAGGTACAAAAGCAAACCATTTTATTTTCCTTCTAACACAGGTTGGAACATAATTTTTTATTGTAAGAGAATTAACATGTAATGCAAAGGGGAGATTAAAACCGGCATAAGGGCAGTATCTAGAACAAAAAATTTTATGTTTCTATTCCGAGAACATCAATTAGGAGTAGGTGTTTCTGAAACAGAAATAAATGGATATTCCGAAGGCCTGGATATATTTAGTCAGCCATTTTGAAGACAGAGTGTTTAAAAATGTAAGGTCTCTGAATTATTATTTTAGAAAAGAATTGTGTGAAAACACGACAAGGCCATGTGCCTGCAAAAGAAGTAAATATGCTAAGTGAGACCTGAAGCAGAGTTCAATACTCAGTCAAAGTAACAATAAAGAGGCAAAAAATATTTTGCACAGGAGATTTTGGCTTCTTTTATTCCAGCAAAAGGACGGACATCAAGCTGAATTCTGTCTGATGATAATCAGAACCGGTGACAAGAAAACGGGGAAAGGGGGCCACACAGCAGACTATATTAATCTTTTTACTGATGCTACATCGTTTCCAGTCTATCCAGAGAAGGAATCTTTTCTCCACTCAATTTTAACAGTTCCTCAACAGCTAGACAGGCACTCATACTGCTTCATGTTAAATACCTTGCTCACTCTCAGCCGGAGCAACAGAAATTTATCCCCCTATTTTAAGCTGTTTGGACACATCTTTTCCAATGTCTGGAGCTATAAGCCATCCAGGCAGTGTTATAAAATTAAATTCTGGCCCACAGAAACTGCTCTGTAACTAGGAGTTCTAAAATTCTGTAGTTATAATTTTGTACTTAAAATTGTATTAAAATTTGTACTAAAAACCCATTCAAGCACATTCAAAAGAAAGTTAAATATCTAAATTTTTATTTCACCTTAGACCCGTCAAATCTTCCAAGTGTTTCTAGCAGCTTTACAACTTGTATTCTTGTATCTTCTTCACAGAAGAAAATCCATGAGGAGTTCCTACCATAGGTAACAGAGAAGCTAACAAAAGAAATTAACGTTTTACTAATAAACTGGCTTATGAACAGAATGATAGATTCAACCCACGTTCCCCAAATATAAGTACTCTGCAATCAATTACGCATTTACACAGAAACAGAAACCTTTACTACTAACTTAGAATTACATATCAAAGGACTACAGTGAATGGATAAAGATATTACTTCTGCTGCTATCTATTTATATAGCACCCATTATTCCAGAAAGAAGGGAACAGAGATACATAAAGAACGTCCACTCAGAAACGTATACGTACTACAGCTGTAACCACCTATGAATTCAGAAGTTTACAGATAGCAGTTTAAGTTACCTTCCCCTCTGTACCTTAACTTTCTTCCAAGGAGCCTCACTGTTGGAATCTAACACCATTGCAACAATCATGAAAATGCCTAATGACAGGTTTTCTCACAGCTGTTAGACACTGATCATAATCATCACCCACAACTTAAAAACTTCATTAGCTTTTTCAGTACAGTGAAACTACACAGATTGAAGGGGCTCCCCTACCTTCCTCAACACGAACACTAATCTCAATGCAGGATTCCTGACTCCTTCAGAAAATTCTCATTCCGTATTTCTCTACCCCTCCCAGCTTAATTTTTCCACTACTTAACAAATCAAAGCCTTATTAATTCATGATGTTGCCTAATGGAAAAAAACCCAACCTTTACTTGCCGGTTTTCCTTGCATAGCTTTTATGTTGATTTAATTAAAGAAATCATCTGAGGGATAAGAAAATTGGCACCTATAAACATCACAGACTTCTTCCTCTACAGCATTGTCTACTGACAAAATCAGCAATGAAAATAAACAGCAGAAATTTAAGTCATCAAAAATAAGTAAAAAAGAGTGACAGGATCATTTATATTTTAGGGAATGGTATTTGCATTAAAAAAAACCCAAACCCAAAAAACTAAGCCCACTATCTGAGAAATACTTATGCTAGAACACGTGATACCTGCATCTGCAGGTCTTTAAATTACATGCTAGAAGCACCAGACGGTTGCCAGGTGCTAAACTAGTTCAGTCTTCTTGCATCTGGGACACGCTATTTTCCTATAAACCTACCTTGCCTCTTTGTCTTGCAATGGTATTTGGTTATTTGCTGCTTTCCGCTTGTGATACTTAACGTGGTAAACTGTAATTTCATTCATCTTTTTAGTTCATAAAGCATATACTTGTTGCTGACACAAAACTGAAATCTGGGCTGCATTCAGGCAAGCAAACAGGATACAATCACCTGGGAAAGACACTTCCTAGTTGTTCCTTCTAAAGTTTGCCAAACACGTACAGAAAGAATATCAGATACCCTCATGTTTTTAAAAATGGACACTATTCAATGCCCTGGAAAGGCTGAAGGCTTTTCTCTCACACTTTAGTGCTCAGCTAGAACTTTAGGAGAGCAATACCTGGATTTACACAAAAGCAGGTGGGTGAGGGGCAAGGAGAAAAACACTAGAATGATCCCCACAAAAAGAATTATCTGTTCATCTAGCTATTGCTGGACAAACAGAATGATTTTGAAGACTAAGTATTTCAAGGCTTGCAGAGAATCTTATGTAGACCTCATTGCACAGAAATTTGGAGTTCAGACTGCAAGGAGCCATTGGAGATACTCAGGTAAGATCCAGTTTCAGGGTAATAATTTAAAAAAGGGATTTCTTGTCTGTTTAATAAATGTGGTTACTGAGAAGAAATGCAGTGGGCATTCTGGAGACAGTGAGGGTACTGTGTCATAATACATCCATTGATGTCTTGTGATTACATATTCTGAAATTAAGTATTTTATCCAAGTTAACCTGTGCCCAAGAACTAAAAATTAAGAATTATCATAACTGTTTAGAGGCCTACTTAAAAATGCTGACAACCACAGAGCTGAGGGAACCCATTCATCTGAAAGCAGTTTTCAGATAAGAATGCATCTTGTATCACAATTCCTAGCATCATCAGCTGCTGTAGAATGGGCTGATCCCTTAACCTCTCTTCATGGTAAGTGGTAAGTGAAATGGTAGACACAAGGAACTTCATATTCCAGAATTCTCTTCAAGATGGAAACCCTTTGCTTAAGACTCCTCTTCTGGTTTCTGAGGAATTTTCTTCTGCTTTATCACCCAAACTAGCACTTGTATTTTTGCTTCTAAGTTTTGCTATCTTGTAAGAGCTGTATTCGTAAACCCTGTCACCAAGAAACAAATAATTCAGAAGAGGAATGACTAGGTCATTAAAAAAGGAGCTAAGAAGGCAAAAAAAGATGACTGATAGTTGGAACATCATCTTCCAGTTTTTCAATTTACTTCAATTCTCCTTTTGCTTCTTTTCATAGTTTACATATACCTCGAAAATAGCTGCTATACAAGCACTCTTTTCATGTTTCTACACACACAGAAAGCAATGGAAAGCAGAAGAGAGAAAAGTAACCTGTCCTGTAACCAGTCTGATGCAAAAACCTCAAACCAAAACAAAAACATCCTTTTGAGTAACTCTAATAAACTATACGAACTAAATTAAAGCTCAAGAGGCTGCAGAGCCTCTGGAATCAATTTCAAATGAAAGTTTTGGGCAAAAGGACAGCCTTCAGTACTATGGAGCTTTAGGACTTTCTGAAACAGGAACCATTGCTTCCTAACAGTTTGCAACATACTACTGTGAAAATGCAGCAGTCTTCCTTGGAGCCATCTGCATAAGGTAAGAAGAAAAGATATTTGAGATTACCTGTCTTCTCTGACCATACTAAGATGAAAACTAGCCATACAAACTCCTAAAAAAATGTCAAAACATACATTTTTTCACTAGAGAGGCACACCACCTCTTAAAAACACTGTCAGCAATAGAAGGTAGAAACTCCAATACCAAACAGGTGTTACTACCTATTTTTAAAAAATTATTTATCCATTTCATTTCTATCATATTTTTATCATTGGATCATATTTATCCACTTCAGACAAATAATATGAACAGTCAAAAGTTCTGAAATACGTCACATCTTACACTGTGAGAAGTGGGGACCAAATAGGAAAATACACATTTAAAATGTATTTCTTTTGACTAGTTCACTTCCTTAATAATTTTAAAACAATGATTTGAAGAAGGTAATTGCTCAGTTACATTATATTATCATTCTTTTATTTAAAATAGCTTTCTCTGATTCAATGAAATTTAATAGAAAATTGCTTCGGAAAACTGAAAAACAAGAGAAAGAAAGTGAAAAGATAAGGTTGTAACTCTCATTCAAAAACTTCTGCTTCTGAAAAAAGAGGTTTAAATAATTTATATTTATATGCTTGGTTGCAAAAAATTCTGAAAGTAACTTGCATTCATTACACTTACTCTCTCATTAATGGTAATATTGTCCATGCACCTTCACGCCCATCCATCTGATGAATAAGCAGAACCGTAGGTAATTCCTTGAAGAAAAATAAAAATATTCCCATTAAACTTGAATAATACGCGCTTTTTTTTTCCTAAATGCCAACTAATCTTATGACTACTTAGCTCTTCATTGTTTTTTACTGGCAAGTAGCCCTATAAAATAGATGACTTGGGATGGTACAAAACAAGGTGACCCGCAACTTAGGAAAAATACTTCTTCCAACTCATCATTTCTTCATTCTCTATTAGATATAAAGCTAATATACTTCAAGTGAAATGTTTTGTACATGTAATCAATTAAGCAATATTTCATATTCATTTTTTCACCATATCATAAAATCCCATACTGTAAAGAAAGACTTACAAATAACATAGGGTATTCTACAAAGGCTTCCATTGACAATCATGTTACACAGGGATTATGTGAGAGTTCTAACACCTTGTTTTGCTGAGTTCAGCTTTGACCTGTCACACTAACATCATGACAAAAACCAAAATGAGGAGTTAGCACCTTATCTTACTGAAAAATCAAAGCAGCTTTCTACACAGCAAAATCTTTCTACAAATTTCTGTTCTCCTTTATTACTTGAAATCTCTCTGGTGTGGCAGATTCAGAAGTTTAGCAGACAAGCTATCATTCTGCAGAAGTCCCCAAGAAAACACCCTTTAAACATGGCCCTCTACTAAACCAAACTGCATAATTTATTCACTATTTCATACATGTAAAAAGTGAGAGAGATGCATATATCCCATAATATATAGGTAGTACCTTACTCCATTGATTAACTAGCTACTAATTTACAAGTACGATTCTCTATTGCAGCATCATTAGGGTCTCAACCACCTCACAAATATCTAAATCCTTTGGGTTAGGTAATGGCACTAGTACTGAAGCAAAAATCTTCCTGCCAGAAAAGCCTAACCTCCCAAACAGTTTACTTCTCCACCATCTAAATATAGCCCATTACAACAATTGACCTCATAAAGCACCGGTGGTGTTAATGCATTTCAATACAAATTACTTACTACTAGCAGGTAAATGATCCCACCTTTTCATTATACAAACTGTTAGGTTAGGTGGTTAAAGGCTCACCTCCATAAACACAAAGAAGCACAGAGGAACAACAACAGGGGATGAACCCCAATAATGCCATTGGAGAAAAATGAACACCCTGACCCAGCTCCCCCCAGCCTGCAAGCTCCCCATCAGCCTGTCCAGGTGTGACACCCACAGCCGAAGAGAAAGGAGAGGCTCCCTGCTCACCTTACGGTCCAACAGGGCGTTATGTCTACAGGGGTATGGGACTGTGGTAGACCGACGCGCGGACTTTGTCTTAAACATTTCTTGGTGCGGAGGCCTGCTAGACCGGTTTCAGAGCACAAAGATGAGATGCAGGGAGTTGTGAATCGACTCAGCTTCATCTCACCTTGGCAGATCCTTATCTATGCAGAGATGACTCGGAGGGAGCTGCAAAAAACAGCTCAGCCCGGGGTTGCCTGAACGATGCACCATGACAAGAACCGAAACCTGAACAGGCACTTGACAAGGGCACCCGACAACCAATGACACCCCTGCCCCCCCAAGCATAGGAGACACAATGTCGCATGGGCACGGGCAACCGGAGCGAAAAAGGCGGGACTGAAAAGTATAAAAGGCGGTGTTCACAGTGGCTGGGGGGGACCCCCACCACCAAGGAACAAGAAGACTCAAGAGGACCAACAGGACACCGCTGGATCCACAGGTGGTGATACCTTCTTTGTTTCTGTCTCTCTCTTCTCTTTGTCAAATTGTGAAAGATGTGTTGCACAGGACTTGTTGGTCTAGCTGGATTGTTTAGTTAGAGTAGTTGCCATTGAGTTATTCCATGGAACCTCATGCCTTGCATTTTTGTACTATTAAATTGTTAAACTGGTTGGCTGGTGTCATTTCACCTTAATTCAGTCCAGCGGGATCATGAACCTAGTTGTTGGTCCCAAGGGGAGGGAGGTCGTCCTAAACGGCTCCTTCTGGGCCGTGATAGGGATGCATTATGGGATTCAGGGGAAAAGCATTTTGAGATGACACAAAACTTATTATAAGATGCTTAGGGGAAGATGAAAGGCCAGGAAAAGAGGATAAGCGTGGTTTGAGGAGTAGCAACTATTGATAAATACATGGGAAAAAGGGGGTTGGTCACTTGAAACCGATTGCTGGCAGGATGCTTGTCTGGTCATGCCCTACTCCGATCACGGCAGTCTGTCCTGTCTCCTCTGTAAATTCCATTTCTAACTCCCAGGCAGGAGGATCTGTGTGTCTGTGTATTTGGAGGTCCGAGTGCCTGCCATTGGAGAGGGGACCATGAGTCACAGGGGTGCACACGTCTGTGCTGCCAGAATCTGGGGAGAGTGGGGTGCATACATGTTGTATGTGGGGATGTCAATGTGTGTAACTGCTCACAAGCATCAAGCTGGCCCCAGAGTAGAAAAAGCTTGAGAGCCCGGTATCAGAGCAGCCACAAGCCTGGGGTAGACACTGGAGAGACCAAGGGGCCTTGACAGTCGGCTACTAGAGGAGCCAGGAGGTCACTGCCCCAGGAGAACCTCTGGGGTGCAAGGGTCAGTTAATGGGATGGTATGAGTCTGCACCAGCTACCAGAAAGACCCATTTGCACGTGCGTGCCTGGGCATGAGGCAAAAGGGAGGCCCGGGGTCAACTACTGGATATGCTGAGTGTCTGTCGATACTGGGAGGATCCATAATGCATGCACGTGAGCGTCTGCGTGCGCAGGAGCAAGGCTGAGCACCAGCAACCGGGATGGAGCTGCAAGCCGCACAGCAAGTCCCACATGCTGGCAGCTGCAGAGACTGCCCATGCGAGGGCCAGGGACTGCACAGACTGCACGTCAAAGACCAGCTGCTGGAAGCACCCATAGCGTAGGTATGTGTATTTATGTATCCAGGCTTTCATCCTGCTCAGCCGGAGAGGTGAAACGTGGTCAGGCCATTGGCACACTCTGTTTGTGCGAGTGCTGTGGTTTCTGTTTGTGCTGATCTACGTGGATGACCATCCACCATGCCACGTGGCGTGACGTACGTGGCATACAGGTACACGTATTGTGTGGGTGCGTGCACATGTGCCTACGGGAACACGTGCTCGGCCTCGCTACTGGCCGGACCTGGGGCCACAGAGCTGCAGCAGCCTCGCCTCTGTCAGACGAGCGGCTTCGGCAGCTCCTACGACAAACCGTCTTGATCTCTCAAGGGTCTAATTCCTTTCCACTTACACCATGCATATGCCAAACATTTTTGTTTGATGAATGTTCCTCATTAATATAAGCCAATTCGATTAACATAAAATTCACATTTAAACACAGGAATAATTTATTCTCTAAGAAAGGCTGTAAGATAAAATTCACACTGCTTGCTGACTCTGTCAAGTTTTCTTTAAATTCTTTTTAAGGGCAGTTAGGCATAGCACCTAGAAATACATAAAACCTGCAAATTTCATACACTAAAGAAAACATCTCTATCACTCTGAAGAATAACTGTTCTCTCAGGAGTGCATTAACTATCAAAAATTGATTATCTACTGCTTTTAAAAATATTTATGCTGTTATGAATGACTCAAATTGAAAAGAAAGAGTGCCAAAACTCTAATTTGGAACACGATATTCACCTGCATTTAAAATATCAGCTGTTTTGAATTATGGTTCTAGTTCAAGACAATCTATCAAATATGTTCCTTGTTAGTTTCAATTTTTTGCAAAAAACAAGGAAGTCCAGAGGTTTTTCATGGAAGTGGCAAATCTTAGCAACAGTATGCTCAACATCTGGTATTTCAGTAAAATGTAACCACTTCATGGTAAAACTGTAAAAATATGTTTGCTTATGGGATTGCAGACAGGAAGATAAAAGGACAAACCTCTGTCTTTACAAGAACATTTGTTTTTACAAACATACAAACCTTGCAGTTATGCTGGTATTTGTGTGTGGCCATATATTTCAGGTACAACAGGAGCTAGACAGATGTATAAGGAGTTAATAATAATATATTCACTGTCTGTATCACACTAAAGGCTGATGTTGTATTCATTTTAGATAAAAACAAAATTTTTCCATACAAAAGGTACAAAGTCAATTACATAATCGACGTAGCTGTACCATATACTCAGGTATCTCCTCTAACAAAAAGAACCCCCAACTCTTTCCTTTGTGTGAATCAAAGGAGTGATGATAAAGAAAAAGCACTTTTTCTTCAGCTAATCTGATGCTTTTGCAAGTTATCTTTTCTTTTTGACATTCTCATAAGCCTGCTCTCTTTCCTCTACCCAACTTCCTCTAAAACATGAAAATACATATCTTGCATATATCCTTCCTTCCATTCATCTCTAGCAATGCATCAATTCTGATTTAATAAAGGAGACGCTTAAAAAAAAAAAACACTGTACAGGTAAAATAGCCTCTTCCAAAAACACAGGAGGATCTCTGTTGCTTTTCCTTTCTCATTTTATGTATTTTCATTCTGAACCTAGTGGAACTGGGCTGACCTGTTCATTTTATTTATTGTACCTTCAGTACAAATTATCTTATCTTGAAACTATTGTTTCCACAGTTACAGAACCCATATGGTTTCGCACAGATTAACACTTTACATGTGGCTCAAATCAAATTTAATCTAAATAAAATAATTTAATGACTTTTGAAGACCAAGAAACTACCCTCCCCCTTTCACAACTGAGATGACTGTAAAAGGGCAAATCAAAAAAAATAGAATCACTCGTGGTCTCTGTAGAGTAATCGATGCGGGGCAATTTGGAAATTTACACTCTAAGAACAGCATTGAAACAGGGTGGAACATAGCTAGTGTACAATGAGTCTGTACCATGGCAATTCCCTAGGCAACCCTAGATGTTGGCAACATCAGGGGAACTTGGTGTGTTGACCCTGGGAGAAATTGCATGGAGGGTGGAGCGGAGTGGAGACATCGCGGCCACGCTCTGTGAACAGGGGAATCTAAAGGTACACAGTGTGTACATTAATAAGCTGCACATTCAAT